AAAAAAAAAAAAAAAAAAAAAAAGCATGATCCAACTATATGTTGCTTACAAGAAACCCACTTTAGAATCACAGATACAAACAGACTGAAGTAAAAGCTAGAATAAGATATACCCCAAAAGTAACCATAAAAGTGCTTGAATGGCTATATTAATATCAGACACATTAGATTTTTTTTGAGGGATTTTTTTTAAGCTATGAACAAAGAAAAGCCACAAAAGAGCCCTCAAAATGGCAAACACGAAAAAAAAAAAAGTTGAACTGATGTGAAGAAATGAAAATAAAAAATAAAATTTTGTCACTCAAACTGCCAACGATTTCTTAAAAAATAATGGATATTATTATCAGGGGTTTTAATAAATGAGAATTCACAGCCTGCTGATAAACATATTTATATTAATGATTCACGTTTTCAATGAAGAATTTCACCAAACAAGTATTCTAAACAGTTGCATTCTCCCCCACAAAAAAATTATATGTACAAAAATATGTATAAGCCTCTTGAACTGTAGTTATTTATATTAACAAATAAAAAACTAATCTAGAAGTCTATTAACAAGGAATTGGTTAAACGCATTATGATATATCCATGTAGTATATATGTATATGCAAAGAATAATAAAACAGCGAAGTGTTTACAATATTGTTGAGTGAAAATTATTTCAAAAAAATTGAACTTACAAGTATGATCATAATGTTTTTCAAAATTATACATGTGTAAATTATGAATACATATGTATGTATGAGCTACACAGTACTAAATACAAGCACACACACAAATATAAGTACACAGAAAATGACTAATATATACAAAAATGTTAACCATGATTTTTCTTTCCTTTGGATAGGAACATTATGGGTAATAGTTTTCTTCTTCACGTTTTTAATTTCTACATTTCCCATATTTAGTATAGGAAAAGCTCAGTTTTGATCCTGTAAGTAAAAGACTTATAGTTCTATTTCAGGTTTTAAGAATGAATTCCATGGGAGATACTTAAACTCTTCTTACTCCAATGCACGTAATACCACAAACACTAAAGATTAGAGGTTGGATTTACTTGTTTTCTTTGCTTATGTTTTTCCCTCCTGTGTTCCAAAAATCAAAATCTTAGTCCAAATAAATGAAGGGAAGAAAGATTTATTTCCCCTAAATTAAGAAATAAAATTACAAATATAGTTTAATCTGAAATGGTTGCTTTTATTAAAATTTTACAGACTCACAAACAATACAATTCACATGGTTTAGTATAAACAGAATGGTGTTTATACTACAATTAGGTACGAAGAGCTATGTGCAATAAAATGCATTTCCTCTAGAGAGAAACTTTAGAATGGATATAAACCTAGAAATTAAGCCAAAAAGATAAACACACTTTAGGGTTTAGTTATATTTTGGAACATTGTTTATAGAATGAGAAAAATCTAACAATGTTGCCTGCAGACACAAGGCACATTCACTGATGAGACACATGGCTGCACAGTGAAAACATCTGGTCTGTCAAATAACTCCACATTTTTCAAGGCTAATTAGTACAAAACCCAGTGATTTCTGGCAATAAAGAATGTTACTTTACTTCCCCATTGTCCTTTCCCTAACACACTCATACTCCAACTGTAACAGATCAATAAGATTCATTCAAATTTCTAGTGTACTTCAATATCAGTGACAGGTTAAAGAATGACAGCCAATTAAACACCTCTATAGCAGACACCAAAAGAAAAGAATTCTATTTCCAGGGGCCATGGAAATCTAAAACAAGATTTTGACATTACTTTTGACAACCTCTAAACATTAAAACCGAATCAAAAGCCAAATGTGCTAGCTCTCCCCCTCCCCCCCACCGCATGCAGGCTCCCTAATAGAGATGTGAGCAGAAAGAAAGTAAATGAAATAAAAGCAAGAAATTTTTTAAAATAAGGCAGGAAAAGACGTCTAAATAATCCTAAAAATTGGATAACTTAAGGTCAGAATAACTTAGACATGGTTGAATGCTATCCTGAGAAGAGGAATGTTGATTCTAGGCAAATTAAATTTTGGAACTTTTTTGTCATGGTATGCAACTCGTTCACAATGATGGTTTTTAAAATTCTAATAAGTAATCTTTCAAAGTGGATTACAACTACCCATGAGAAATTTCTTAAAATTCAGAGTATGATAAGAATATTAAACAAAAGCTTTCTGCACAGAAAATATTAGTGTCTTTCCTAATTGAAGAGCATCATTAAGAAATATTTAATCCCTTCTATGTGCTAGAGATAGAAAGATGGTCAGATATCTTTCCGCAGGGAACATAAAACCTAGTAGTATAATGAGTATTTATAGCTTAAAAAAAAAAATAACTAGGCTTCCAGCCATTAAGGAATAACAAGGAACAGACATGAACTCTCA